AAGAAAGGCATTATTAGGCACATACTGTCATCGTTTCACGAACAACCTACCCAGGGTGATAGTCCGGGACTGTCTCACAAGACTCTGAAAGAGCCTCCAATTTCTCACAGGCAGTTTAAGGGTTACCTAACACGATAGATGCTGGTAAGTGCCTTGATGTAGCTGGTTCATGCTTTTATAAAGGAGACGGCTTCGTTCTTGAAGAATCTGACTTGGTGGGTAATATGTTAAAACCTTTCGGCGAAGCTCCCGAAAAGGTCAACACCCTCCCGTTTTGCGTTTTCAGTTACTGTCTGTGGGGTACATTCGTACAGATAGCCCAATCACTCTACAGAAGGCAGATGATAAGACAAGACACAGCAAATGCTGGAAGAAACTTACACAAGATTCGAAGGGCGTGATTTGTGCCCACTGAAACCAAAAAAACAACCGAAAGTGACACGTCTAATAGCAAATCTGCCCAACTAAAAATAGCATACTCATAGACTATGCAAGTCTCTGAATCCCTTCCAGGCCCAGAAGAAAAAAAATTATGCAAGATGCCAAGTTCGAATATTTTGTATGCTTTAACCCATCATAACTGTCCTTACAAAAAATGGCGGTCACTTATCGGATTGGTGATTGTAAGTACAGTAGTCAAAATACTTCGTACAAGAAATTAGGGTTGAGCGTGATATTTATTCAGCGTGAAGGACATTCTGTTCAAGCGAAGGTCAATGAAACCTATTGGATTACGGCTCTATGACCAGTGGCCTGAAAGACATGTCTGTTCTCTGGCCTGGACATAGCGAGCACTGTGTCAGCGCCCTCCAGAAGTACCTTAAAACTATTTCCGAACCAGTTTTGGGTTGGTAGAAGTTGACGCAACTAAACTGTGTTCTGTTAATGAAACCGCATCCCTGGACATGACAGTTTTTAGCCTCCCCCCTTGGGATTTTCCGAATAAATAAGCCAAGGTTTAGTGAAAAACTCTTCGACAACCCACGACCGGTTTCACCCTTCTTGAAGCTCATCATGTGGGCGCAGTCCCCGAGTTTCCGTCAACCACCTTGTGTTTTGGTCGGTACACTATCCAAGATACCGCGATGCATTGCATAGACGAATTCCGTACTAACTGAGACATGAGACGGCCTGGTGCAGCACATTCAGTTGCTTGAAAACATTATAAATGAGTGAGCTGGGCTTCAAATGGATCTTCTGCGAAAACCAAACCGGTATACAAATGAGTGCATAAATGGAATATCGTGCATCTTGGGTTCAACTAGAACATAAGGTTGACCGAAACTCGGGGACTGATCCCACCTAATGAGCCCAAAAAGAATTAAACCGGTCGTGGGCCGTCAAAGAGCAGTGGCTTCTGAAATGGGTGCTGGATACTCCGTAGGAACATGGTTACTCTGTTCAATGCGTGAGCGTGAATTTAGATCTAAGCAGGGGACGTTGGTAGATCAGTACGTAATGCAATAGGCCTAGCTACATTTAGTGTGCGAATCCTTTTCCCGCATTCTAAAATTCCCCTGGTGTGTCGGCGGAACTCTCCGTTTATATTAAGATGCATATTCCCGTTAATTTTGCTTCAAACCTGTGTACATCCAACAGGAACGAAGAGGGGGCGTATCACGGATACTTTGCTAACATCGCTCAACTCGTTCTGGTTTATGTCAGGCCGTTAAGTTGCGTGGAGTCAACAGGGAATTCGGTTCCCTTCCATAGCGCGATTTCCGGATTTTCAGGTTATTGAACAGGAATGAGGAAAATCGTGCTGTCAAGGCCTTAAGAATGTGGTCAGATCGTTCGGAAGCTGCTCCGAATATGCTCAAGACGTACAGCACCACGTATGTGGCGGTGTGTTATAGGACCGGGTTCAGGTGTTCTCTTTTCTGCTGGAGAGAAAAGACCGCTCCCCGGCCGGGATCGAACCCGGAAAAGACCGCTCCCCGGCCGGGAATCGAACCCGGGCCTTCCACGTGACAGGCGGAGATACTGACCACTATACTACCGAGGAGACAGATGGGTTGCCCAGCTTAGACACTAGATATGTGTTAAAATTGCATTCTCAATTCTCCGTACTGAATGCCTGATGGAAGCCGACAGTCCTTAAGTGTAAATTCGCAGAATTCTGCGCTACACTCTGACCTTAGGGCTTGCCGCATTAGCTTCTCTCCTGACTAGCTGAACTGCAGCTGAACGATACTGTGAAAGGTATCAAGGCCAGAAGACGGTGTTTGTCGGGCACACTAACTAGGGGTTCTGTTTCTGGCACGTAGGACGTTACAAAACAGGTGCATTAGCTGTCACATGACTACTTTCCATTGATCGGTGAGACGGTGTGTGGTGTCGTGGTCCCTGAGATTTTAGAACAAGGTTCCGAGAGTGCTGCTTTTTTGTACATAAACCGTAATGGTGCAAACAGACTGAAATATCTCAAGCTAGCTAGATGGTTCATGAAACTATTGAAACCAAATTTCGTCAACCCGTACATCTCCAGACACCGACTGAAAATGTGTGGTACGAAATTAATATTCACATACCTCACCGGGCTTTATCAAGCTCAGTTAAGTAAAGGGTGTCTCAGAACGGTGTAGTGCAAAATCTTATCTCAGTGAGGTGAGCGTTTCAGTGGTGGGATGCGGTAGTCTGGGTAACCTGAGACCAATATTTATTTTTGTGCTAATAGGGGTGTCAGATTCTTATGGGTGGCCTGCATCATTCGAATGACTTGTCCTCACTGCTACCAAAGCCCAACATGACGGAAGCATGACGATGCGACAAATTGCTCTTTAGGGGGATGGGACACTACTAAGATAATCGCGATTAGTTTTTCAAGGAATTTGACCTCAAAGCTGTTTGTCACCGAATACTGTTGTTCTGTATCCCCCGATCAAAGTTTCTTCCTTTTCTAATGCCACAATAAGTCGTCCACATATTCTTATATTTCTCCGTCCTTCAAACCTTCTGGTCATATCTGTTTGCTTTCGACAAAATATCCGTAGGATGATTTTCTGAGTACATTTAGTTTTATACGTGTGTTAGCAGTTTAAATCCATTGGACACCTCAGGATTTAAGCCGGGAAGGAAAGGACGGTGGAAAGAAACCGTCATATATCAGTATAATTATCAGCAATTGATGGTATTGAGGATTCAACAAGATTGTCTTGGTATGTCTTTTTCCAAAACTGTTGGGTCGGTCCCATGGGGGTCACTTTTGTGGTGCATCTGAGGCCAAACTTATTGATGCATAACAATTTTCGTATTTTAATCATTTAACGGTTTCGGCTTCTTTCACCTGACGAACTTGAGAAAGAAGGCTGAGTTCATGTGTCGAACCGAACGTATTGATATTTATCACACAGGAACAATTCAGTGTGTGAATGATGTGATGCGGTCACGGATGACGGTTCTCAGGCCATGTATCCTGTCTTTATCACACGCTTGAATAAGTCAAGCTAGAAACTGTCCATCCTCGTGCTTATGACCTTAAATAGTTTATGAATATGCGAAACGAATTAGCATGCAACTGCTACCTTAAGGGATAATGTGGCCAAACGGCGTCAAACACACCCCTGTCCCAACAGCTTTGTTAGTCCTACTCAAATTTTCACGATGTACTGTTGGGATGGGACTCGTCGTTTCCATGGGCACAGCGTATAATTCAGGATCTCAGAATATTAGACTAACCAATGTCTAGACAAAAAGGCTAGTGGATAAGTTCGGTCAAAATAAGCCTGTATCAATAAGAAACCACAACAACACCATAGTAGACTGGGAGATTACTGCGTCTTGGTCTCGAGAGAAATGTACAAGGTAGAGAAAGCAGTGGGAACTCCTCTTCTATTACGCGGTTCTGGTAAGCTAGACCGGAAAAGAACAATAGCCTAAATTCCGTCAGTCGCTTTTTTCATGGCATACTTTTTCTTGTGATTTTGGGTGGCCATCCGAATGGACTAAGTATAATCGTACAGAGGAGTACCGAGTAGTGGTATACATCAGCACAGTACCAAACTTGACGTAATTGAACCAGTTTCTGGATGTTTATTTTGTCGCCATCTTGTATTCCCTTCAAGGCATCAACCAAATCTCCATGTACTTTTTAGCCAATGATCGACGTTAAATGCGGAAATTATCTTCCGTAAATATATGTGCCTGTTTTTTTTGTGATTGTATCCACAGACTGACAAATCTTTCAAGTAGGAATTCGTTTTAACGGTAACCAATTAATCCAGGTAAATGATCTTCCTGTAGGTTCTGGTTAAAGAGTACAACTTTTTTGTAAACCCAGAGCATCATCTGATCACTCTGTTTGTCAGAGGCTAGGTTGGTGGGCCTAAACAATCTCAAAGTCACAGGGGATGGTCAAGTAACCGAACATTAGTTCATTACCTCACGGCCTTAGGATAGTCCGCTGATACTCAGCAATCCACTCTGAACGACTTTTGATCTGATCAGGTGGGCAGCTGTCGCATTCTTCAAGTGCCGGCCCGTTCATCTCCCGAGAAGTCTGGTTAGGGCCCATGAACACTCTCGGGTAGGTGCCGATCTTTGCAACTCAAAGTTTTCTCCACACCAGGAAACAAAGTGAACAGGCGATCGTTACGGATTAATAATCTATCGTTGAGGTTGGTGTTGAGTGATAAGCCACTGGCGAATTGCATTTCTACTGACGGTGGACTTAACACCCGTGTTTAGGATGTAATTGGATGATGGGTCAGAGAATTGGAATACAAACGCTTGTAGATTAGCTTTTTCCGCGAACGCCAGGTTTCCTTTTGAAGTTTGGGATCAGCCATTAACGCGGGATGCTTTTTTTTACAAAGTGCTATGGATTTTGGCTTTGTGGCAGGACGTTACCGGTGAGCTACGTTTCACCCTCATGAAATGGATAGCACAGATTCTGCGGGCTATGTAAGTGGAGAATTACGCAACGCTCCTCTTTCATCTGATGTCTAGGAAGCTGTGGGAGCTGGCAAACTGGTCTAACCAGGTTGATTTCTGGTACATACCATTTTCAAGCGATCCATCTCGTATTGTCATCAATGCAACGTCAAGGAACTGGAACGTGTTGTCTGCTTCTTCGTACTCAATGAATCTGGGTGCAAAGTGAAGGGAGTTAGGTGACTGAACAAAGTCCATAATTGCCATGTTGGTTTCGTAGCCGATAGATACGTTGTCCACATAACGTTTGCGAAGAAGTAATTGTCCAATAATTGGTTCTGCAAAGGTGTATCCAAATTCGTTCAAATGTATCAGCTATCATTAGACAGAGCGCAGGCCCGTCACAGCCCTATTTCTTCGGCGATTGATGGTGTGATTTAGTGAAGCCTAAGTGGCAAAATTACATCAAAAAAGCAATTTTTAAGTTTATCAAGTGAGATGAGGAAACTAACAGTGCGCTGACGATAAATTTGTTGATATATCCAGTTAAATTAGTTGTCATTTATTCATTTGTTTGGTAATATTGAGGCAATCTGCGCGCGCCAGAAGGTTCGATGAATAGCCAAAAGAATGAGTGCCCAAGCGAAGCTACTTGGTAAGTGAATTGACCAGGCGTTTAACAATTGTGATCACCGCTCACTTGATGAACAGTGACTTTCGGACTTTCGGACTGATTTATCGGGTGCCAGTAAAATTTTTCCTAGACCGTGGAATAAAAAACACCGGAAAGAACCGAGCTGATTAATGATCGGGTAGTTAGTCATACTCTATCACAAGGAAAGGCGAGCAAATAGTTTTAGGCCTCTGGGTCTACGATCACACTCCTAAAAAATAGAGAAATCAGATACAGACCATCTGTGAGGCGTTCCACGCGTTTACAATCATATCCCAAGCTTTATAGCTTAATATCCCAAGAGAAACGCTATCAAAACCACATGTCCACGAGCCATTTCGTTCCCTTCAATGAAATACATCGAGTTAGGTGTACTTCACATTATTCGCCTACGGACACTTTGTTAACTTCTTCAGTAAAGTTCGAGACACTCACACACTTCCATACAAGGGATGGTAAACATTTCAAAGAAATCAAGGTACAACCCTATGAGATATGAGGCCCTTTGAATCTTTTCCAGATAAGCCCCGCCACTAATGCAAAAAGTGCATGTGCGAAAAGTTAAGCCCCGCCGGTGCCCATAATCCTCACAATACTCTCAGCTCCAAAATCTTTGAACAAGGAGTGAAACTTTCTACGCCAAAATGCTGCATTTTGTTGCGTATGTGCTCAAACCAAAAACCGTCCTAATCTACGTCCACATTTTTGCAGCCTACTAAATTGAATTGCTTACTGAAGCAAACATGCCTCTTGCTGAAAAGTCTTGTGGGTCAGTTTCCCAGCATCGCTGAGACCCCGGGATGCCAAAATGGGGCATAAAGTTGGACTGGAACTCTCAACCCAATTGCCTGATCGCTTTAGTCCATCAGAAGGCGCGTCATAGCTTACGAAAATTCAATTCCATTGTGCGAATACTGAGCGCAAGCTCCAATTTAATGTACACACAAAACAATCCCTTATCAGCATCTAGGCTCATTTTGTGCGAAAATCTTCTCCGTTCGGGCGTAAAACCTTAAATGAAATTTCTGACGCTTTCAACTCTCGTTCATGACAAGAGGGCGGCAATAGGTTTTTTGCAAAGCTACGGAGTGATCCATCAGCAACGTTTATGCAGCAATGGCCACCAAATGACACCTTCAACTGATTCTGACACACGGACCTTTTCATGCAAATTATTAATGACACGTCCCAATTTCACTCTCTTCAATAAACTAAAAGTACAAATTTCATATCCTTTTTTCTAATTTTTTTTGGGTGGCAAGGGTTAATTTTTTGGCAGGGCTTATCTGGGAAGGATCCGGCCCTTTACGCGATAAATATGCCCCATTTAATGGTTTTCGTCACTTACTATGTCTCACCTAGAGATTAGTCAGATCAGATTTCAGGACTTCAAAAGCGATTTCAGGGCGCGATGGATTCGAAGTGAGTAGATGCATGTTTATCACTGGCAAAGTCTAACCTGTCTCCAAAAGAGGCATTACTACTTGGGAACTAGGACCCTGAAAATTACTAGTTCCAATTATCAAGATTATGCGTGTCAGATATTTTACATACTTCCACGTGTTCTGCACTGGAACGTTAAACTGAGCACTGTCCCTCGTTGCAACAATAAGGTGTGGGATCCTCGGTTTCAAGTTTATTGACAATACTTCACCCCGTTGACTGATATATTCATGTTGAGTACTTACTAGACTGAATTGTCAGCTAGTGAGCGTGTAATCTGGGAACACATCCAAGATTGGTGGTTGAAGTCGGAGTTCCCAGCTAGTTTAATTCGATAACCTCAGTTATTCCTATATGGATCCGGACAGCCTGACTATCTCAAAGCCTTCATGCTTGTCTTGAACTGTTTCGTCCTCGAAACCTAGTCTTACAGATGCAATTGGGGCGCAATTATATAGCATGCATTGAAAATTCTGTGCATCCAGACACGTTAGGAGAGAAGCTATGTTTCAAACTGGTTCAGACACTTTCATTTCATCTAAGTTATCTTATTTGTATTCGTCCAGTTTATCAATTTTTTTTTGCGCACGGTTGAAAGCATATAAATGAAACGATATCAGGACAACTCACTTGATTGTAGACCAATGGGATGTTTGTGTAGTCGTACAAGGACAGTGTTTGGAGATTTCGCCAATAGTTGGTCAGCTCATTCATCAAGGACACATAGTAGGTTTCGTGGAGGAATATGCCCTCTTCATGGGCTTTGGCAATCAGCAAGGCAGCCCAAACAAGTGGAATGATGAAAAGTCCTCGATTTCTTGACAGCCGAATGAATAACTCTTGTTCATTTTGCGTCATAAGTCCACCCTGAACCAAGTCATCCAGTGAACCTAGCCGCCGTTTCATACTAAGTGATATGTTCTGGAAAAGCAAGGCAAAGGCAAGATTGAGGTATCGGACAATGGCTCTTCGGAATAGAGTACACCGATCCTTTTCACGTTTGACGCACTCAATCCGAACATCAACTGACACTTTTGGTTCGGTCAAATAGGCATTTAACAATGTCCAGACTCTGTCCGGTGTAGGCAGGTTACAGAACTGGTCCCACCAGCGTCCCATCACCATGCTAACAAACATACTCAGTATGAACAGCATGGGGAGAGAATTTGAAATTTTTCCCGCATATATGCACATTTTGACAAAATCAAGTTTGACCAGTTGTTGTTCCAAAGTAGTCGAAGGGAGGCAATAATAGGTGAGAGCGATTGTTCCGTAAGCGATAAAAAATATCAAAACCATTGGCCACACTGCTTTATACACACTACCTCGCCATCGTAAGAGTAATTTTACCATTGAAACATTTTGGACTGTGGCAATAGTTGACGCGTATCGGACGGTCATTTTGCCTTGAACAAGAGTCACTCACTAGGCTGTTGTTTTATCAACCAGTTTGATGCGAACTATGCTTTCCGATTGGTCCGAGCAAACGACCAGTGAACTGACTGTCTGTGCTGAAGAGTAGAAAAAGGTGAGGGTTCACCTGCGGTCCAGCTTAGGTTACCTAAGTTTCACACGTGGTCTGTTCAGTGAAAACGATGGTACAGTAGTGCCCGCTCGGCCAGGATTTGATTTCTTAAGGATGTCCACCAACTGACAGTTAAATTTTGTCTTGATATCCCGTACACATTTTGTGTCGGAAATGGAGACCAACTATATTTCGGAAAACAGCGTCACCAATGCAGCAAACTACAAGTTGTGTTCGGAACACCAATGTGACGAAACTTCCGCCACAGTGAGTACCCATCCCGGTAGTATTGGGCATCTTTCGTATTGTATGAAAGGCTTCTCATTCGAATGAATGTGCACCACATACAAAATTTTTGGTTTTACCAACTTAGCGAAGTGGTGCTAAAGTGACCAAGACGCAGAGAATGTAGGAAAATAGGCCAGCGGAAAAGCACATCATCACGAAACGCGCACCGTTCCCACAGCAACGAGAAATGTCCGTTCTAGAGACGAACAATCAGGCTCTTGAAATGTGCTTTTAGAATAGTTCTGATAGCCGACTGTTTGCAGACAAAACTTGCTGTGGATCTCCTCGTAAACCACTCTCCTCTCTTAGGGCATCAGGTTTTATGTATCAACAACTTTCAATGCAGTCGCTGTCCGTTGTGGATCAAAACCTTTCCATAGGTGAAAAAAAGTGAACTACCACGGGACCAGATCCAATTTTGCTACGATACGGTATATACATTAATAGCTACGTTCGGAATTCGAACGTGACAGTTGAGTACTTTGTACTGAGACGTCACACACTAATGGTAATAGGATGCTGACTAATGTTGGTTGCAGTACGTTCAACTTTGGACAGTAGATGCAGTGATAGGTCTGCACACCCTATTGAGCACTCAGTCCACCGCCATTTCGCGTGAAGTAACGAAAAGCTTTATTTTCTGGGCGTCGACCGCAATACATACAAAAGAGTTTAGATGCGAACCTTCTCTTCAGAGTCAAACGATGTATATACAACAGGTGGGCTGCAGAAGAAGGGAATACCATGAAAACAGTTCTCAGAAAGAAAGAATGCCATAGAAGGTCTATTGGCTCGCACAATAAAACTGGACAACCACATCAACCAAGTTATAATGTATTCACCTGCTTACCATTGCAAAGAATATCAGTCACGGAAATCAGAATCAAACATAGCCAGCTCCACAGTTAAGACTTGTCTAAGCTATCAGAAAGATATCACCGCATGGTTGTTGTCTGATTTCGCTGTCTTCCTGTCCCGTATTCTATTAACCAGTTTGTTTGTATTTGCGATGACACCTACAGTGTTACGACGGTTAGATGTCTCTGATAAAGGTTCAAGCAGCCAGCAGCTAGTTACAGCCTCACACAGTATGGTGTTCGATTTAGAACAAACAAACTACCAACGCGTCTCTTCACAGTATGTGGTCACTTTTGGTTTGACACCTGTAAGACCTCTAAGGAGGTCGTGTTAGACGCTGACAGACGCTGACAAACGTGATTGAAATCACCTATTCCTGTGCCTCTGTGGAGAACAGAGGAGGCAGATTGTTGCACGCTGCTGACAGCTCCTGAGTCTTTGATTATCGGAATTCCCCGACCTAAGATACGGTCATAAACAAGTTCATTCGTGAATCACCACGCTTTTTGGATAACCTGATCTGCAATTACTCTTGAGCTTTTATTAGACCAGCCTTGTATGCATCCAACGCCTTTCTGGAAGATAACCTGATTTTTAAGGAGCTTTTTCGTGCACAAGTAATTCAAGTTGACCAGGAGTGGAGAAAAGCGAGAATAGCTTTGCACATGTGACACGAGTAATCCCGTGGCCTCAGATGTAATTGATTGCTCAAAGGGTTATTAAGACAGTTCATCTGCCTGATCATCCCCATTATGGCGGATAGTTTGTACCCGAGGCTTGGCGAAACCAGACTGATCATCACTAGACGGTCGACTTGGACGGTGCGCACCTCAGAGTTGAATTTGTCGCCTTCCACAGCCAAACAATGTCTCCCTTCCCTGTTTGCAGCTATACGCATGTCTTTCAAATTTTGTTTGTTTTTTTTATTGGCCTCTGAAGGGTACCAAACGAAATGTTGAGGAGCTGCTCTCTTTTTGCTAGGGCGAAGTTCAATGTGGAGTAATTCACTGAACCAAGTGTAACACTTGATACGGTAACTCCAGTACAGGCTGTGCTTGGAGTGCAACTGCACACCACCAACATACCTGCCTCCACTAAAAAACACTTGTGACGAGCAGAATACGAGGCTGTCGAACGATAATTATTACACATGCGGGTGATTTTCCTGCGAAGCTTAACAGAAGTCGGGTTTTCCACAGAATGATATCAGTTTGATGGTGCATTTGTATGAAAACCAGAACGAAAATTGCACAAAATGAGAGACAGAGAAGATAAGAAGCTATCCATATTGTCCGGACCATCTTTCATCACTTCGTACTCACTCATAGGCTGTTCACATCTTGCGTTTGCCTCAACATGTTCAGTCATACTGTCAATCACGTTGGAGTAATTCAGATCAGTTAGTGACCGCACCAACCCATGATAGGGTGAAGAAGGAAGTGAATCAGTCAGTGGAGCCTCCTTGGTTTACCTTACAGTGACAAGTGAGCAAGGTCGACACACGGTGGAGACTTCTTGATGTGCCACACGAAAGTAGTACAGTATCATGAAACTCTGACAAGGTGATTTCGATCAAGTGATGTTTCTTCCTGTAAGTGAAATTTATGTATGCCGGAATTCCGAGAAGCACCGTACAGGTACTTCATCATTATTGACGGTCAGTAACAGGATGTATCGAACAAAAACCATGGCAAGCTTCCGGCTAATAGTCAGAACATTAGACCTATCGGACGCAGCCGGCTGGTTAGTACTGAGTAAATCGCACTTAGGCATGATGTAACGTCACTCATCTTTCATTTACGGAAGTCACATTAAATAGTGACGTGTTGACTGGTTTTTTATGAGTGAAGGGGTGGGGCTTTATCCAGTCTAATTGCGATTTAATCACGCTGATGATGAACTGACCGTAACCGTAGCTATTAAGGTAGTCATAGCTTAGATGGATTAAATAAACAAGTCGGCTGGTAAGATTTGTTGGCCGGACAGTGTGTGAAACACGAGAAAACTATTGCGCTCATTCGCAACCTCAGCGGAAGTTCAAAGCATAATTCTGTAATTGTGAGAGTCTGTTACCCTGGAAAATGAACAAACTCACGTAAAAACGGCGAATAACCTAATTTAACGTACCCAGGCGGTCAAATACACAATTATTTCTTCTCCGTGATTCCAACTCATCCCACATTATTGCTCGCTGTGAGTTTCTACTAAGGTGGGAATATATTCCGTTTTTCCTTCAGTAATATATGCATCCGGGATTGGCATGAATATGTTAACTCCCAGTGTGTCTTACTCGCAATGAAGTATGCAGATACCTGCCAATATTACGATCACATTTCTCAAATGGTGAGGAGATCAGACGGATAAGTTTTGTTGCTGGTTTAATCATCCCAAAATCCCCGCTGGACAAGCAGACCCTGGCTGATCATCATCTAAGTGTTAAACCGAATTGAAGGCAAAGATCCCCAGATTGCTTAGTTTTCCGAGAGTTGGATATATGCGGGCCAAAGCTCACTTTATAACCCTCCATATCATCGTGGAAATAGGTAAGCTTGAAACGAACATCGACTATCCACGACAGTCAAACCGCTAGTCAGAAGTCTGAAGAAGTCATGCTCTATAATATTTAGCTACTCAAATATTTTAAGTAGCTAGATGGTAATACGGGGTTCTCTGTGCCTCTTTGGCACCCGGTGCAGGGGAACACACTCAATATGGCAGCAAAAACCCAAATAGAAACAGTGACTGGTCCTGTGCGAATAATCGTGGGAGTCACAGCTGTAATCCTCACTTATTGTTAGACCTCCCGGGAATCGCCAAGGGGTGCATTTTCCTTTCTCCCTTCGATACAGAGGACACACCATGACTTACGACGCCCTCAAAATTCTCGTTGGGTGTAAGTGATTCCCTTTGGATTCACAGCGAAGGAAGCACTACCTGGTATCTTACCCTGCTAACATTCTTCCTATGTCCCATCCGATTTGCTCATTTCAAATAATAAGTTGATGATCACTGCGATTTGCTACTAATTCCCATCAACTTTTAACACATGGATCTGAAGTAACTGATCGCTCTCGATCTCAAAAGCCCAAGGAGGATAACATCGTATTCAAAGCTGTTTTGTGCAACACGTTGAAAACCTCAGGTTGCACATACGTACAAGTTGAAAAATGGATCGTGAGAAAGGTAACTCACGGGTTTTATGTTGCACAGGACGAAATGGTACAACAACTCAATATTTCGACTGTGTGGCTGTCCTACACGTATCTAAATCTGTTCTGTGAGCGTTACACAGCCATTATCCAAGTTGCTAGTCTGTTTGCTGATGAGATACTACAAACTTGATACATCTATCAGCGCTCTTGCCATACCCATGTTATTCAAACTTCTAAGATGAACCAGCTGCCAACAGTCTCCCTTGTTCTGTTCATCTCCAGGTGAAATTTAATCTCTATTTAAATATTTATTTCTTGAAATAAACATATCAAAAACATATAAGCTACCCTGCATAAAATTCACCCTGCTGAATTGCTTATGTCCTCAAACTGGTGGTTTGGTGGCTTGCCTTCAGTCCGCAAAGATGAGGTCGCGGCGTTTTTTGTAACAGTTGTGTATTAATGGTGAATTATGGGTCATGTGTACTCTTTTTTCATTACCTATAAGTTTGATCCAAATGACCCCTGTA